AGATCACTTAATCTCATAAATAAATATAGGTATGTATAGATAAGTAAATCAGTTACATACCAACCTATCTACCGACATTGTTATCTGTAAGGTTATACATGCATGCCCACCCTTTGATACAGGATATCCTTCAAGACCGGTGTGTACCAATCAGGAGGCACAAATAGGCCAGCATGTGACTGTTGGTCACCAGCCGCCCGCCCTGTATCTGCAGTCTGTGTCACTACCAGCTCTTGTATGACACTAGAGTTTCTCTAAGATACACATTATGTATGGTGGCCTACAGCTGTAGTCTTGGATGCCTGATTGCCGGTTATGGTGATAGTATGAGTAATATTCAGGTCACCAAGACTAACCATCAAAGTGACTTTATTGTGTATTTTGGCAACCATAGGCAGCTGGGATCTATTTAAAGTCTGCGTCTCATGATGATACATGGGAGTTAACATGATGCATGTATTTTAGGAGGATATGCCACACAATCAACCACGTCATGGAGCCTTAAAACATCATGCACTTTGGTGTGCACATTCAGTTTCAATGAGTGAGTTGGTTTTACACCATTTTTAGCAATATTCCAGCAATATAATAGGACACCACCCTCCCAAGCACCTGTTAGTTGATAAGTACACTAGATCTGGGTCTGTGTTCATTCCCATTGTTGACACAGTTTGAGTATTCATGAATCATGTCATGTAATAAGAAATTACTTTCACATAGGGCTGTCAGGATATTGATGTAGGTATCGTGATGTAGTCAGCTGAATATATGAAAGTAATTATACCCTTGTGAAAAAAATTTGTGAAATTTGAAGCATTGCTTGTATCATGATACAACTTTGAATTGTGATGTATCAAATCAGCATCATTGTATTGGCAGTATTCCAGGAAATCACTGAAACATTTTCACAGATTTAAACATAATGAGCATAGATTATATTGTGGTTACCATAAAATTAGCCAGACTAATTGTGTTGATTACAGGTATAAACATTGTTTGTGGTGGTATCTTGAGGCTGTCTTATAAGGAGAGACGTAAGTAGCATATGTACTTAGACCGGTGTGCATGACTGGGCCAGATAGTCTTTAGAACATACACCAGCTGGAACGTCATTGTGCTATAGCTGCTAGTTATCTTTGTCAGTTGGATGTGATGGGGTGGTACCTTTCACCTATAGTAGGTTACTTGGTTAGGTGACCTTCTAATGGTGTTTTGAGGATACAGGTAAACTGCCTTCTCTTAATGTGTGTCAGAGATGTGGATTAAATCTGGGGTTTTGTAATATGACATTTGCTACTGTTTTCCTAGATGTGAGGATGAAGATGATGGAAGTAACAGTTTTTCACTTTAGCTGCTTCTGCCTTTGGTCAGTACAGTATTTGAATAGTATATAGAATAGACCTCAATTTTCTGAACATTACTGATTTCTTGCAGCTTGCCTCTAGCTGGAGCTATCTTGTCATGTTACCCATTGTTCCAAAAATATCTACAAAAACAGTGTTTTGTGGTATGTCGTTTTCCAGCACTGTGACATAAATGGGTTACCAAGGATACTGTGAAACCATCTGTTAGATGGCATTTCCAGAGTTTCTGTAAATAGCTGTGATTACTTTTGGGTAATTCTACAGCATGACATGCTGCAATGGTGTGTAGCTGGCCTTTTGACATTACAGAAAGCCACTGTAAGCCATGCCTGGTCAGTAATAGGACTGCTTGTAACACAACATTGGTATTGATGTGTTTTCTGGAATTTCAGACATTTCCCCCAAAGTACATGCACCAGAAAACAGGCCTAGACCATAGCAATTTATATTGAAGTAAAAGACTGGTTCACATGTATTTTTAAATCTGTAAACCTGTGAAATGAATATTTTCCAAATTACTGGATTAATTGAATATATGACTTCCTAAAATATGTTGGTTGCCTATAATGACAAACTGACTGCCTGCCTGTTTTGATTGTTTGGTAGACGTTTTGGTATTTGCATTTTAGATCCTTTTTCATTTTTCATTTTTCATGATATTCAAGAGTTGTGGCTTTTGATTTTATATAAATACATGAAGATGGTTTAGAATTAATTGAGATGTTGTGAAGTTAACTCTCAGAATGATATTGATTGAAATATTCTTCGAGGTTTACAGTGAGCATTTAAAAGAACACTGTTATAACTGAGAGGGAAGTCAGAGAGATGTTAAAGGCTGTGGGTGAAGGATTGGTATACACTTGGTTTACTCTACTCACAACACATGAGATCTATAAACATGCATCATCCAAGAATAGGCTGTAGTGAGGCTGTGGGATGCAATATCCGTGTTTGCTGTACAGATGCTAGAACGATGGTGTTGGTTACACTTGTGAAGCTCTATTTTGCTTCCCTCAGCTATATATATGTGTGTTCCACCAACTGGCTGTGTGAAGGGCACTCACAATACTGGCATTCTCACAACCAACCAGGAAGAGAGTGGGCTTTTTTCACAGTGAGGAAGCTGACTTTCAGGATTGGTTTCTAGATCGAAATTTCATATCCTTGAAATACGCCACTTCAGATTTAATATTTATATCTTATCAGTTCTAACATTTGTATTGAAGATTGTCGAAATAAACATTCCGAAACACTTTCCCTGTCTATGATAAAGAGTCTAAAAATTCTTTTTTCATTTGGTACCACACAAAATATACCAGTACTCATACAGCTTCATATAATCTGCTGGAGCTCTCCTGTCAGTCCAATCTCATTCTTCCCACAAGTACCAGGGCCTAATCACTGCAAAGCTGTGGACAGATTGAGCTATTTGCATGGTCATTATGGAACTGCTAAATACCCATTGTGTGCCTACAATGCCTTTTGTCTGGTGTACAGGTAGCATTGTTTAGGTTGCACAACAAAGGGCTGTACATGACTGAGTGATTATCACTCCATCTAAGTATAATCCCCACACTTGGCTGTGTGAGGGCAGGAGGCCCAGACTTGTCTCAGTGTGTATGTGTGTATATAACAAGAGGCATGGACCCTGTGGACATACTGTACAGACTAGGAGTAAATACAAGCTGTGCTGCGATGGTGCAGTGGCAGGAAGGTACATACCCATACTAGTGCCTTGTGCAGGTTGAAAATAATTTCAAATTTGGGCATACTATTTCCAGACATTAACAATAGTATGCAGTTTTAAACCATGAGCAGATACTGATGTGATTTACACAATACACTTTGAGGTGTTTGATGGAACTGTGGCTCTATCTATGGTTGGAAATAGTTAAAGAATTTGGGGAAAATATGTCAAGATATTTCTTCAGTGTTATGTAATTTCATGAAATGCTTTTGGACATTGATTGTGATGTTTATGTATCATTCAATAGAAACAAGGTATGAGTAATGATTTGTTTCTGGTTCTCCCTTGCTCTGCATAAATTCCAGAATGTAGTTAAATATAGAGCTATAATATTCAGGGTAGGCGTATGCAAGGTTGAACTGGATGTTTATGAGACATCCATGGCTGTTCATCTAGACAGTTAGACAGCTGGTAAACAGATTTAGTTTTGTGTATTGATAAAAGGAATATGCCAAATGCCATGTATGTACTGGTGTGAGTTATGATTTCACCAATGTTATAGTTAGCTGATACTTGGTTTGTTTGTACATAACTAGATTTGATTCTGTTGTCCTCTCCCACCTTTTGTCCTGTCTCCCATAACACATATGCATTAGAAGTACAAATATAATTGTGTGAAATATGTCTTCAATGTTTAAAATATTAAATTAAGTGATATTGTGGAAGTTCCCCTTTATGAAAAAAAGCTTAGTTCAATAAACAAATGGAAAACCCCCAAATCTTCATGATGCGATGGTGTATTACCTGCTAAAATGTTCCTTATTTCTGTATCTGAGGTCAACTAAGAAAGGTAAAGAAATGGGTGATATCTGGGCCTAAGCAGGAAGTGGTGACAAAATTCTGAAATATTGCCTTGAATATATAATGCTGTGCATGTTGAGTATTCAGTGCGCTGTTTTCCTTCTGGGATGTGGTAACTGACAACACAAAGTGTTACATGTGTGCTGGAGCCTACCCAATGTCTTCTGGCCTGTCTGGTGACATCACTTGACCCAGCTAATTCCATCCCCCATCTGGAGGTCATGTCGCATAAGCCGCTCCTAGCAGATTCCAACATGAAGAGGCAGGGAAGGATCATTACCGTAGTTAACACAACACTAAAAGTATCACCATGTGTGGATTCTGGATTAGAACAGATTAAGATAGGTCACCAACAGCAATGGTTTTGATGGTCAGACTTGATGTTGATCCTGTGCTATGATACTACAATTGCATGGAGTATTGAATGCCACAGCAGTCATATATACTTATATGTTTACAAGCTGGAACATTGCTGCTCTAAACAGTTCTTGCAACAGCTAAACTATTAAGGAAAGAATTTGTATGTTGGTGATACTTTGTGAATCATAATTATGGATTCTAACGAACCCAAAACAATACAAAGGGTCAGTAAATGTGTTTAATACGGAGTGTATGGCAGTGTCTTGTGACCAGGAAGTGAGAGCAGATGGTATATCTGTGTATCTAGTGTCTCAAGTATGTAAGTGTGCCCACCCTGTTTAGACTACAGGGATGTATTGGGCAGCGTCAGACCTCTCACCGGTGTTCGTACATCTGTACAAGGACATGGTTACTTGATCATGAGATTAAACATCTCCGTTACAATGATTCAGTGTGGGAAGTTGAGTCACTGTTGTTTCAGTTTTGGTTGTTTGTATGCTTGAAAATATTGTGTTATCATCCCATTATTCGAGTGTTCACTATATGATGTGCAGTTTTGTATGTCAGGTTGAGAAACATCATGTCTAAACATGTGTAAGAGGTTTTCCTTATATTTTAAAAACATAGGTACATGGATACCAACAGCTGTTAGACATTCATTGATCTTATACACTCCAGTATTTGCTTGTAAGAGGTACTGTTTCTGACTGTATCCTTTCTTCTTCCAGCAAGTGAACCGTCCCTCCTCAGCCAGTCTACAAGCTCCAGACAGGCCGTGATAGGCCAGGAGTCTTCGGAAGGGACCATACTTTCGGACACCAGTTCGAGCAACAGAGGCAAAGACAAGGGATCCCTGAACAATGTTCTGACAGAGAGTGACAAGGAGAATGCCATACCTGACCTTAAGTCACCATCACTTACCAACTCCTGGGACCTCTCCCCACAAGACCCCAACCGGAAACCTTCGTATTTGAAAATAAGTTGTGCAGTTAGCGGCTATGGCCGATACAGTCAGTACTCTTCCTATAAAAACATAGAGAAGCGTTCCCCTTTTTCTAGTACATCGTCCCTCCGCTCAATCCCAAGTTCACCGGATATGCCATCCGTACAGAGTCCCAGTGGGGACAGGACTCGTGATGAGTGTTTGCGGTCAGCTCTTGGACAGTCACTGCAGAGCCCTCTTGTGGCCAATGGACAGTCGACTAAAAATGGAACTATACTAAATGGACATGGTCAAGTGCATCCCACAGGAGATAAGATCAAGGTGGGTTTATGTGGCACATCTCTGCCTGGGTGCTTTCATTTCAGGGTCATCAGTGGATGCTAAAACAGATTGGATTACTTTCTGTGATAGGTTTGTATTTTCATGTGGATGATGATATTTATGTATAGTAAAGTCAAGGTGCTCTGACTGACTGGACTTGGATAAAACTCAGAGGTATCAGTTTAAAGCTGATTTTTGACATCTAGCATTACAAGGATTAGGATGTCTGTTATATAAGAAAAAAGTGCTCAAGTAAGTCCAGACATAAGCTATTTAATAAGAACACACATTTGATACAGGTATTTGCATCTAGGATGTTGGATTCATATTAATTGCCTAAAACAACATTATCTGCGACACCAGCCGCAAGTTTGAAGCCTCTATCCAGTAGGAATGTTTGATCCTGATTCCATTTCAGTCATCTAAAAATAGTCCAATATTATCATGATACAATCTCCTCATGCCAAGAGACAATTTCAGCTGGTGAACTAACAAAATGTTAGCACAGACTGACATTATGATTTCAGCAAGTTCCATTTTCTTTGGCTATGTTTACCATGCTTCAGATTGTGCTGTAGGCTAGAGCGAGTGCCTCATATTTCTCCTGTGATTCATACTAACCATTGAGATCAATACCTACTTCACTGCTCTATACCACAGTGGTGTAACGGACCAGGAAAACACCCTGGAACCTTATTATTACACTCTACACAATGTGCACTTGTTACAGACATGATGGTAGCCCTGTCCTGGGAAATTTGTCTTGAGTTATCTGCCCTTGCTGGATAATAACAGGCAAAACTGAGCACAGTGACTTCCTTCCTGATAACAGTGACTCAGATTAGATATAATTGATATCAGACATTGTGGACATATTTGTTTAGCCCATTTCTGTTGTAGAAGGGATTCTGTGATAGCTCTGAGTGAAAATTTGATACAGAAGTTATAGTTTTGGTCTCAACTTGAGTATAATTTATGAGCACAGTTACCAGTACCGCTTACATAAAAAGGCTGCAAAAATTACTAAAATTCTATGCTACCTGATTCTCTATAAATGAGTATCATTGCCTGACCTAGTACTAAACATATAGCTGTAATACTCTTCTATGTGATGTCTAATCAGATACCTCTCTCACTCCCATCAGAAATTATTGCTGACAGTTTTTGAGTGCTGTCTTTTATAACTTTGTAAGAGAATCACCAGCCTTTTTCTCCAGAAAATGTCGTGTATAGATTGTTTCTGTCTTGTTAGATTATCACATAAATACCAACATTTACCTGCCAAACTATCAAGGGAATGTTTAGTTATTGCCACCAGCTTAGATGATACTTTCCCCCCATTATGTTGAGTCATGGGACTATAAGTCAGTGCTTAGCTTCAGCTGTGTACAAGTCACAGTGGGTATTCTGGTATTGATGTTACACAAACCTAGACCAGTAGTGGACAACTCATACATTGGATTTATGAGTAGGAAGTAACGACAGAAGAAATATTGACTGAATCTGTTTGCCAAACCAAATGGCAAATATATGGTCTTGTTCAATATTGTCAATATAACTGCTCACTGGGAAACAATTTGCTGACTTGGCGAATTATCTCCCTGATATATTGTTTGATATGTATGGTGATATTTTGTTCAAATGAGGTTGATAATTTTGAGTTTTCGTTCAGCATAAGTATCAATTATTAATATTTAATCATATTTCACAAGAAGAATTATTGATGTCATTGATAAAGACGATTTAAATGTTGACGTGTGTGCCATTTTCATAAAATGCTGTTTCTCTTGATAGAAATGAAAAAGGTTAGCTCAGCGCATACTCAATACATAAATACAAAAAAAATGCTGATTTTATTCAGTTTCTCACTGAATTGTTTATTCCTAATCATAAATATTTGGATAAAAATATCTAAATATATTTATTCATTCTTATTATATTATAATGTTTTTCAGTACATTCTTATCCTATAACCAATATTTCAATGCCATTGTCTTGGATATCAATGTTCAACTTACCGGAAAGCAGTTCTATCCCATGATAGTTTGACAGAATTTAGTGCAAATATTAAACGTATCCAATGGTTATGATCTATTTTAGTACTGCCGATAAACAAAGATTGGCAACACATTTAAGTGAGCTGTGCAGTTAGTCATGCTGCAGGCCAGCTGATGGTGCAGGTGTACTGTTGACTGACTGAGTGACTCACACATCATCACACACCTCCTGGCCTTCAGGCGAGGCATCCCACCTTATATTTACATGATGGGGCAGTATTCTGCTGCACTTGCTAACAAAATGTACCACTTAATATAGGGAGTATCTGCGATCTGGATAATCTGTAGGTCAACATCTGTATGAATTCTATGTCTTTTGTTTTCACTCAATGTTGTAATGCGAAATATTACTATCACTCTGAAGAGAACTCTGGAGTTGGATATATACGACCAGTGAAAAAAACAAACAGTAATATATATTTATTTATACTGAACTGCTGTGGGACTTTCTGAAACATATGACATTGATTACATTTGAATTCCCATGTAAGCTGTCACCTATGCCTGATCTGAAACTGGTAAAAGAACACTGTATGTTATCCTAAATGTTAACAAGTAATGATTCAGATCATGTAATGCAAACATAGAGAATTTTTCTGGGTTACATCTTCTTTTTATTCTCGATTGCAACGTTTCAGGGCTTGTTCTGGCCCCATCATCAGGTAAAACTGAACAGTAAATGTTAACTCTGGCCGTGACGTCACAATGCTTATGACGTCACAATGCTATGCCGACGCAAAATGTGGTGGTCAATAGATACAGATGACATGGCTAATAGAATACATGTTATTATGAATATATAAGATGTCGTTTACTGCAAAATTAATGGATCAATTTAGAACTGTGCAGATACTTATACCAAATTGTTGATTGATTTAGAAATGTACAGAGACGTATTTATAAATGGATAGAATGTAAAGTTATAGCAGTGTATACATAGAAATTATGCTTTATACATGGGAACAGTGACGAGGGTAGGGTACTCGAGAATAAAAAGAAGATGTAACCCAGAAAAAATCTCTATGTTCATCAAATATCATCTTCTAAAATGCCAATCAAGCATCTAATGTAATGCAAAGTTAGTTGGAAACTATGGACAGAGTTGTCAACCTGTTGCCATGGAACAGTTGCATAACATGTCCTTCCATTATCAGGTCCAGGTTTGAATTTGTCTCTAGCAACCCATGTTTTTTTTGTTTTTTCCATAAGAGGGGCTAATAGAAGCAGTGGCTAGGCATGTCATTGTGTCCCAGTTGAATTGATTTGTGCTCTTCATGTCAGTCACTAGATTGTCTGGCCCAGGTTAAAATATTTACAGACCCCATCATGTGGTGAAAACAACTTGATACCAGGTGAAACAAACACGCATGATCAGTTTGAATGTTTTTGCTTTTATATGACTTCATCTTTTTGTATACAGAGACAAATACCAGTAGTTTTGTCAAAAATTGAATACAAGGTTTGAATCTAAAACTTCTATTCCATATACTAGTGTTATATTTTAAAGCTGTAACTTCAGTAACCATTTGCCCATCATGTCTCCTCCTCATTTGGTTAGAATTTGTATTATAAACCGGATTACTGATAGCCGAATATTTTCTTAGGTTTCAGTTGTATGTATTCATCTTTAAGAGGACTGATTTAGAAGTGGCAGTCTTGTTCTGTTTTAGATGAAATGATTTCCTCTTGCATGGACCTGTGTACACTGATGCTACTGTAAATTTAGATACTAGCCATGTTGGCTTCATGCAGCATCAACACTCCTTACACAACTGATGTTTTCTCACCTCCTCAAGTATCCATGGAAACCGGATGATGGTATTATTCAGAATAACTGTTACCATGTTATAAAACACTGTATATGTTACAGATATATTTGTGTTGTGATGGTGATGATAGAAATGGTTATCAAATTCAGTGCAAATCTCTATTACTGGTACATTATGATTGTTCAAAATCTTTCTGTTAAAAGGATATTGTAATTCCATGTCTGCCTGGGAAAGAGCAGTTTGTAATTTTCTCACCAGACCTTGCGATTCCATGTTTCTCAAATGTTATACAATTTGATGAAACATAATGAAAACTTGATAATACTGAAAATTTGACAATAGGGTGATTGTCATAATAGTTATGTAAGAGTTCTTACAATAAGATATGATAACAGACAGTTCAAGGCCCCCAAGAACCAACATTTATTTAAAACGCTGTGATATGACAATACAGGCACTACAGAGATCAGCCTTCGATCTATTACCAGCTTTATAGACAATTAACATAGTTTCCAAACCACACATATATATTTTGGCTGATGAATACTTCACCTAGGCTTGACTTTCTACTTAGTTCACCTATGAGTAGTGCAAATATTTATCATGCAGGAAATCAAACATCAACAGGGAACAATGTGTAGTAGTGCGAGGAAGTACGTCGAATACCTTCGGCTTATGAGTGAAGACAGGTACATGTTTAGGCTTTGATTTCAAGGGGACATGTTGGTAGAAATTGGTTGAGTGAGTCAGCAAGGGTCTGTGTAGAATAATTACCTGTGTTGGCTTATGTACAAGGCTTTATGGTACACTACTGTAAGTCTTAATGTAGATCCCTATTGTACTGATGAGAAGTGGATGTGAAGCCTGTGTGGCCAGGGATTAGTCCTGCTTCTTTGTGAGGCTACAATGTGTTGATTAAGGCTCAGTTGGTGCACCGTGGCTCTGTAGACTAATGCTTAAAATGATTAGTCTTTGAATATATAAAATTTTGATAGTAACATTTAAATTGAAAAGGAGCCCAAGTGAGATGGGAAATTCAGAACCTGAGGAAATCTTAAGTTGCTTCATTTAGAGCTTTAGCATTGCTGGGAGGGCTAGGCAGTAGGGAAAATAATGTGGTTTAGGGACTGTGAGACAGACTACGATGTACTGGTATGCTGAATGACAGGATATAGGATTCAGTCTGTTCAATACTTACTGGTTCAGCTGGTGGTTGAATCAACTATATCTGCACAATATACCGTATTTCCTCTAATAAGGGCCTCTGGCTTTATTTTCAACGGACCTCCTCAGCGCTTTATTAGAGGCCAGTAGCTTATTAAAATACCCTGTATTTTTAAAAGCGGGGATGAGTACAAAGCCTTCATTATGTCCATCATTTAAGGGACCATTCCTTAATATATTTATTTTTAGACCAAGGGAGAATGCATTTGCGAAAAAATGCAAAGGTCTATACCCGGCGAGACCCGGCGCTTATTAGAGGCCCGGTGCTTATATCTTAAAGCACTACTTTATCTCCGGCGCTTAATAGAGACCCGGTGCTTAATGGAGGAAATACGGTATCTAAAAATAATACTGGTCAACATTGTTGCTTTGTCATCAATTTAAGTTTCATTATGGTATGCTGACCATGGTACCATACTCATCCTAATTTTTGTCACAACATGTTAGTGAGTGAGTGGTTTTATACAATCTTATTAATGGGAGGAATGTGTCTGGGCCTGATAGGAAGATAAGGCATGTACCTGTGAGGGTCGCACACTAAGGAGGAGAACAACAGGTCTTGGAGTCCCCTACTATGTGACCCAGGGGTCAGTCAAGTCCAAGCACTTGTGTTGACTCCTCACCCCCTCAGGGTCTTTATTAACAGGCTAATACAAACACAGGTCATGCAAGCAGAGAATCTCCTTCATTCTACAACCTTTGACCACATTTGATAGAGTATGTTGTATTTGATAATACAATTTGACTGGCATTCTCCAATTAAAAGGTCATGTTACTTGGGCACTGTACTTGGGCATTTGGGATCCATTTGAAATTCAGTGTGTTGATCTGAAGTTGGTTGTGTAATTATTGACTGCTAGATCGAACTCATATTTGAACATAAGTGAATCGAAGCCTGTGATATGCGCAGCTGTGCCTTGTGATGAAGACAAAACGCTATTGTGTGGATGGTTGTCTGGAATGTTTGATGTTGACTGGAAATGCCTGGTTGACGCAACATCACGGGAACAGGGACATTCCAGCAGTGGGATTCTAGCTGTTCGCTGTATTTTCATTTGTGGATAGATTGATGAGTTCAGCTGAGCTTTACTTGATGCAGAAAGAAAGATCTTCTTCACCCAAACGTATTGAATGGATGCAGAAAACATGTACTCCATCCATACAATGATATTCACAGAACCAAATTCTTGACAAGAACAATAAAGGTTATGTAATCAAATTCATTATAAAATCATTTTGTACAGTAGCAGTATGCTACCTATTACTTACACAAGACCCTCATATTTCAAGTGAAGACCCAGGAATCCTTGAAATTTGTAACAAGGGTTCTCTGGGCCCTTAGTTTTGTAAGTTAAGGTATAAAAACCTGGTTAAAGTCTTGATTTTTGTGTACTTGCGTTAAAGTTTATCCATTATAGGTATAATTGTATTCTTCAGTTTTGTTAGACAGTAAAATTTGATACATTTGTAGTAACATAACTATTTATGTTTAAATATGTTCATAAATTCTCAGTGAATGTCAAAACATACTCAAAAACGTCGAGAAATCAGCAAAATGACGAGCTTATTACACACTTTATATACAACTGACTGAAAATCCTTCCTCACATAACGTCACTTCCGGTTCGCTGCAGTGCTCTGGCGACAAAGTTACGTAACCTCTGTATGGTTTCGTTGGTGGGCGAGAGTGAAGCAGACGGCTTTTTGGCAACGTTTAATCGCTCAGTATTAATTAACCACAAGTTTTTAAGAATGAATTTGGTAACCACAAGTCTTTCATATGTAATGGTTAAAAATGTACAAAAAAACAAAGTTTATTCGTTCTTTAATTATCTTATGATAGATATTTGTGCTTGTTTGTTCTTCCTGCTGTAAATTGGAAAAAAACAGACATTTTGAGTCTTAGTATAAAACAGCTGCTGCTGTAGAGGGGTAAAAGAGTTATCCCCCTTTTCAGATCAACCTTTTGTTGATTTTACTTTTAGTAACAAACAAAACTAGCTAGGCTTGAAATGTATTTGAATAGATGCTAAAAATATGTTTGCATTGCACAAATCCATTCAGTTGGTATATTTAGATGATTATAACTCAAAACATGGGTGTGGCCGACTGTACAAGTACATGCCTGGATCTATATATAATGTTTAAAGGTTTCTCGTGTGACTTCTCATTGCATTCGTGTTTACTTCAGTTAATATCCTTGTACCCAAGCCACCTGGTCATGATTCTCAAATGTGTTTTACTCTCAAATTATGACTCACAGCTCTGTTGAAGCGTCACCATTCCCACATCAATAATCAATCAGATAATAGGTGTGTTTGTTACTGATAGTTAAGTTGTCAGGTTGTCATATTTGTAATAAATAATAACTATGATTACTCCCTACAAGGCTGAACAATGCTAGAACTCAGTTCACCAAGAGAAATTACTGAAATAATATTCCTTCAAAGAAATGGTTTTATACAGTCTAATACATTGGAGATTTGACTTACAATATACGAAAGAAACAAGGTAAAGAATTAAGCTAGTCATGGGGTCTTGGATGTTTTCTCTTCTACAGTGTTTGAATAAATGGATCCTAAACATTTTCAATAGTCTGCCGTGCCCCCCCCCCATAAAATAAATAAAACCCAACAAAAAACAAACAAACCAAAAAACAAAAGAAAAACAAAAAGCTGTATCCATCCCTGTTTCTGATAATAAAACCCCCTGAAATCAACATTTAGTGTTGAACACTGCACAACTTCTATCAAATTGATCACATTTGACCATTTTACGTACAAGATGATTCATACCAGCCCTGAGATTCAGTGAGAGTGTCGGACAATGATTCAGTGGCTGGTATGTTTACACATTTAGTAGATCATTTATCTAAGTGGTATAAAGGGTCAAATGTCACATACACCATGTACTTGTCAACTCGAGACCAAACACTGACACCTGCATGTGAAGCTGTGGCCCTGATCAGCTGCCATGACATCCTCTCCCAGTCACCCCGACATGAGGTCACAGCGACATGACAACAAAGGGCTCATATTAATTCTGTAGTATTTTTTAACATTGTTGTCTATCTTGCATTGTTTTGGTTGTATTTTTTCCAGTGAAATATATTGCACAATATTTTTCATCGTTGTGAATTATGACAAATTAAGTGATGACTAATTATATAAAACATGTGACAGATCCTTTGTGAAGTTATTTTGTTTTGTCACAGAAGTGTCTTAAAACTACTTTGAGTATTTACGTGACTGTGTGGACCTCTGTATATGTGATATCCCAGTTCATGTAACAGACTAAGTAGTATGGCCAGCTGCGTTGAGAATGACTTGCTTGACGAGGTATGCATCGTCTGTGTTGCAGGATGGAGAGTACTTCCTACAGGCCACCCAGCTGGAGGAGGACAGACTTCAGTCCCTGTGTGACCAGGCTGAGACAGAGCTCAAGGAGCACATACTGCCAGAGGAAGGTATGCACCACACCCCTGGAGATTCCAGGCTCCCAGTAACCTACACTGGTCGGGATGACTGGCTCACTGATTTGGCTTGTCAGCATACTATAGCAGCTTCTATATTTGCTCATAATATCAATCATTGATCCAGATTTAATTAATTACAGGCTGCTGTGGATTTAAACAATAATCAAACCATGCAAGCCTAAGGCGACTATTGAAGGCATGATTTCTATGGCAGTACAGTAGGATTATTAAAACACAATTATGATAATATCGTAATTCAGGTACAGCTATGGCGATAGTATTGTGACAGTTCAAACTTTAGGGTCTCTTAAAAGATTGGAAAAGTAGATAATTGATGGTTTCTTTCATCTTAGGGCAAGTGATGCCCCAAATCAGCATGAATATTTTAACTTGTCGTAATGCGCACTATGGTTTATTGTTTTGTTGAGGGATATCAAATCCAGTTTGACACCCATATTAACCAGTTAACATCATGATTCTCGCATGCTAATCACTGAGTGTATTTGTTGTAGTGTCGGGCAGATTGCGAGCAGCTGTTGGCAAGGGCAACTTGTTAGTCACACAGAAGTTTCAGCAGTTCAGGGACTTGTGTTCACAACACATGGTATGTATCCAGTCAACACCTTGCCCTGGCCAGTCATAAATCTATGTTACAGTATGGGAACTATGATTGTCTTCTTGCTACTATCACTTTGTGGAGTAGGGGTCCTTATATTGAAAATGTCAACTTGAGACTTGTACGAAAAAGGTTTTTAAGACAAGAAATATGGTTTCAATTCAATAAACATTCATTTATAGCCTTCAGCTTATTTGTCTTGTGAGTTATATCAACTTTTTCAATGTAAAAATGGCCATTCATGTTAAACTGGCAGACTCTAAACAGTTCTATTTCATTTTGAGATAAACATGTTTCAGAGGAAAGAGAGTTTAAAAATATGTCAAAGTGAATTGTCAAAGTGTGAAGCCATTAGTAATGACTCAGATATGTATGCTTCCACCCTTGCATTCTCTGACAACTGCAGCTAGTAGGTTCCCAGAAAAAGACATGTATGTCTTCAAGGTTATCTGTGGATTATTGGCTGGTCAGAATGGTTGTCCTGAGTCATGGATACATGCTCACACTGCCTTCCATTGTTTTGGAATGAAACTTTCAGAAAATGTATACATGTATAATGATTTGTCTGCAGAAATGATTTGCTACAAAGTTATCATCTACCTAATGACAATAAGATAGTCCACAGGGTAATATTATTCCTTTAATGATCTTTGCTAGTCTGTAGATATGTTTAAGGATGATCAAGACTACGATGTAAAACTCTGTTGATTTATACATCATCAGAGAGGAAAAAGCAAAGAGATGTTTCAAATGTGGTCTTTGTGGATAAATGAGTTGTTGTGTTTAACCCGACAGTACCCCAAGGCAGGTGAGAAGGAGACAAAGTGGGAGGATCTGCAAGGATTCTGGGATATGATCAAGATACAGGTGGATAGTGTAGATGACTTGTTTGCTGAGATTACGCTGATGCGGCAGAACGGGTGGAAGGAGATTCCACGACAAGTGAGTTGTCTCGCTCATAGCCAAATACATGGAGACAGTCCAGTGGAGCTTTGAAATCTCATATTTATTCCCCGTTTGCAATTCCAGGCTAGAATTAATGCCTTTATGTTACTGCCCTGATGGCATGGACCACTGCTCATGTTTTAATTCACTGTTTGTTGAATATTTACTGGCCAAAGTGGCACAGCTGGAATATTGATGAGTGTATGTTAAACACCAATCAGTCACCAACTTGTCAGGTCTCTAGGAGAGACATAAACTTCATACTATGTGTTATGTTTTCTTTGTCCTGTATTTACAAGTGTTTCACTGTAAGTTTCAGGCCTAATACTGAAGAATCACTTTGTGTAGTGTAGTCTATACCTTTATGATCATGTGGAAGAAAGTTTCTGTGCGACTGGTAGATTGTTCTAAGTTTCAAGAGACTACTTTCTTAATGGAAACATTTGTTTCATGTCTAACAGAGGTAATGTAATTTTCAGCCATCACGGAGAAGCTCTGCAAGTTCTAGTCCAAAGTCTGGCAGTCTGTCTCAGGGAAGCACACCCTGTCACACACCAGGTACTGAGACCTCCCTATCAATAATAATATATAACCCTTTCTTGAACATTTTCAGTGGGGATAGGTGAGGAGTATGTCCCAAATACATGATGAAATTTGTACTTGACTATCTCTTGGATCTGAGTTCCTTGAATAGGCTAGGTGCTTCTTTGCATTTCTTAGGCACTGTAATACACATGAAAAGGAAATTGAAGCATGATATTTATATGGACGATGACTTCATATGTGCCCAGTAAAAGGCCCCTGAAATTCATCGTGCAGAGTTATATCCCTTCGGCATTCTAGAAACCTGTGATCAAATTTCCTCTGATCATGTTTCTTGGGCATGTTCATGGACTTCACTGAAATGATATACATTAAAGAATGGTGAACCATGCTTACTCACTAGGCCCGCAGTGATGTTAAAGTTCTTAGATAGGCTTATTTTCATGTTGGTTATAAACAGTTTCCATTTCTTGTATAGAGCAGTGTATGTATCTATTCTGGTACAAACAACTTAAGCCAGATATTTATGTAGTTGTGGTTTTGTTTTCATTTGTATGAGTCTCTAAATGTTGAACGAAGAGACTAACATGTGAACATGTAAACAATTCATTGTTTGGTTTTGTAGGATCAAAACGGAAAGGGTTGAAAACAAAAGACACACCTGAGTCTTCCCCAGAGAGAGTTCAGAAGGCACGTCTTGCCGCAAAAGCTAGAGATGACGCAAGGAAAAAGATGCTGGCTGAGAAGAGGGCTGCAATGAAACAGCAGCAGGCGAACCAGGAAGTAGAAATCTACATGCCCGAAAACACAAAAAAATGACAAGAAGAGTAACTGTTTCCTGTTGAGATTATTGTGTACATCAACAACTACTTCATATGTATAGTAACCAAATATATGAGACTTCCAAACAAGATGGCATTTATATAGGAAATGAGTATCATAGGTATAGTGTATACTTATTGACAAGTACATTCATACCAAGTGCAATCATATTTCATGTCTTGCCTAGTCACCATCTGGCAACCCTTACTTCCACGTTTCGTGCCTTTTTTTCGTTGACAATTGTAGATAGTTGAATTTGTGGAGTAAGGGTAGCTGGGATTGAAATGGTTAGGTGAAAATCGCTCATGATCTTTTGGGCCAAAAGCCTCTGGTGGATGCTGAAATCACAGAATCAACAACATATTCATATTTTCAGAGTTGTTCCATATCCACAAAATTATTTTCAAAATATTGATGCAATCACAAGTGTGTACTTGATTGGGTACAAGTGTTATGATACAAAAATCATTGTTCTTTCGTCTTTGTACTATGTGAAAATGGACTTTTGTATTTGAGAGGCTTTTGGCTCCAAAGTCAATCATTAACATTTACTTGCGATGGTGCGTTTCTGTGTGCATATATTTGGTTTAATTTGTCTTAAGTCAATTTTTGAAGGTGCACATTGTGGAACTTTGTTAGCGACATATGCAATCTGCTGAATATGCTTACCTGAAATATGCCTTGTTATTATTATTATTATGATGTGTATTTTTTTGCATTTGTTATAGCAGTATTCAAACTTAGTAATGATGGTGGATAATTATATTGTTACAGATTTCTAGTTGGCCAAGGAAATCGACTATCCTGAATGGGATGTATTAGTTTTCTTCATGTAAATACATGGGTAAAGTTATCGTAAAGGACACAATATTGATGAGGTTGAAGTTGTAATTAGTTAATTATTCAATTTTATGCCAGCCCAGCTCCCTTAAGAAGTTATTGTCCTGAAATATCAAAAAGAAAGAAAAATCTCTGTATGTGTTACCGAATATCTGTAATTTATGAAATATGCCACAACATTGTCATAGGTTCATGGGAATAGTATCTGTTTGCAGGAATGTACATACATATCTGGAACAGGTTCTAACAACAATTACATGAAGAAATAACATGCCCACTGCCTAACATTTAAAAATATACTGGATGAATAGGTAAGAATTATTTGTGTTGCCTAAAGAAATATGCATATGTCATTGCACTGAAAGGGATATTACTTGATGGAATGTTCTTTAAGTCAATATTTACCAATATATACCACTGTCACAACATGATTTTATCTGGATAATATGACTGCTACGTTTCTCAACTCTTGTCACCTAACATACAGTGATTGGGCTATATATCAACACTATTTATTTGGGATATTTTAAAGTTATGCTAGCGCAATATTTCATTTGAAGAAATGAGTGTTTTTGGTTATTGTTTTGTATTTGTAGACATATTTTCATGTACTTTCTCTATTTATTGTGCAAGTGTTGATACAATGAAATAATTTATGCCAGTATAGGCAATGATTATTTAAAGGTGCTCTTACATCTCAAGATTATCTCAATAATTCCCATCATATTATTGTCTTGTTCAGCTTTAATCACAAGAAATTCACTATTTAGTGTTCTGTGTTACCTCCCTTTGATCAGTTTCCTTACAGAATGTTACCTCCCCTTGGTAATTGTTAGTTCCAAATTCATGATTTCCTTTACCTTTTAAGACAGTTGTTGATATCATATCACAGTTGATAGGAATTATATCATTCCCTTGGAGAAAGTTGAAATCAAAATTTAATCCAAGACCATGAAAACTTTGTTAATTGAGCACAAAGTACAGCTATATTGTTATTCAGGAATTGTGTGGTTGTGTCATTATCCTAGCAGCAGTAATGTGATGGAAATTGTGTAGATAAGCTCAGAGAGAATCAATATCATGTACGTATCCTGAATTTTCATGTAAAATGTACATATATTTTCATTATGAGCATATAACCCTTCCAGTTTGCACATACTGGGACCTAAACCAGTCAATATATTTATGATACTTTCATGTCTCAGTTTCATACAAAAGTGGAGTGACAAGGGGCTTGTCAAGCACATAGACTGTACTAGCAAATGAAAGTCCTCAGTTCATGTTATTAATTGCAATTTACATGGATGTTAATGATTAATGTATTATCTGATTGGTTTGGGGAGATTCAGGTTGCGATTTGATCATTGATAGTTGACAAGTCCAACTGAAAAATAAATTTTGAATACAAGGAAAATATCAGTGCTTATTACAAGCCAAAGATATTTAAAGAACATTATAACATTGCATGCGTACAGCTTTGACACAACATGCCAAATTGTTCATTGCTTCCAAACAGTGACTATTATATTTCTGCACAAAATACGTTGACCCTGAATGAGAAGCAATTAAGAGATACATACGTCATTATTTTTCTATTCCCAAAGTTTTTCTATGTTTATTATGAAAATAGGTTTTGCAATAAAGTCATAGAATATCCCAGTTTGACTGACACCTAAAACTAATTATCCCACCTATACATGTGAAAGTGGTGATCACAGGAGATGCCTGTTATACTGGCCAGGACAAACTATACACCAATATGTCATGTATTACTAACAGGTACAGCTTGTGTAACCATCCTTACTGTCAGAGATCTGGAATATTGAAAAAAATGTGTATCGAGTATGTGACCAAATTTTGTACAGTGATGTTAAAGTGGTTTACAAGTACTAGACTTACAGAATGTAGATTCTTGTATTGTTAATCAGTGTTTGTGACATGTGGCTTTGTTAATCTACAGATGATTTCTTTGCCTAATTTGTTACTGACAGGGTAAGATTTGTTGACAAGCGTTTCCATATGTTGGCACAGGGCCATTTTTTAGCCTGGACGTTATCGAGTTTTTGAAAATAATGATTATTACTGAAAAATGTCCTAAATATATCCAGTACATGCCCGAAATATCCAGTTAGCTTTGACAGTTGTTTTGGTCATCAGCATATCTGAAATCATCACTGGATGAATCTATGCCTTATAATTGTACAGTGTTTTTTTTTTCATCAAGGGTTTTGAAATTCTTGAGGGAAAGATGCATATTTCCTTTGTTTATTTGATTCACATGTTCACATTGCAAGCTTTGACAGTAACATTTATGATTACATTTCAAGGAGTAAACTGTAAAACTTGGACGACAATACAAGATCAATTAAAGGCCTTGGAAACAAAGTAATGACATACAGTATTTTGCTAATGAATCTCCAAGCTTTTAATATTGTGCAGTTTGATATGCATGTCAGAATAAAGTGAAATGAGAAAAGAGCAGAATTGGTCTTTGTGATATGTTGTCAGTCAGACAGTGGATGTGGGAGGTTTATCAGCATAGACAGCAGAATTCCAGATCCATCACTGCAGCTTGGGGGAACGATACATGCTGAGTCGGTCCTTTCAAGACAATCTATCACCATGAGCACAAGAAGGTTTCACTTGAAAACTAGATGTAGTGAAAAGTAACATGTTTTGATTAAAAACATAATTGCGATGTCCAGCTGTCAGAGAAGGACATGTATGTATGTGCTGACAGACACAAGTTTTCAACAACAAGAATCCAAGGCCACCAACATGAATAGGACATAGTCTGTCACTAACCCTTCATAACCTGTTGACTGTGAATCCCATATTTCATCCCAAATGGTATTAACTCTGCACATACCTTTCCTCTTTTACTTCATAATCCAGTACTTTGAAGTTCTCGTCACAGCGATGGTCTACAGAAACTATGCCCCTGATTCAGCTGCCCAATTGCAACAGTTTTCCAGTTTGGGCTTGGACTTTGAATTGACTGAAGAATGGTCTGTCTGATGGGGTAATCATACCTGTTGAAGTCTTATGAACGATTTGAAGGATTTGAATTACTTTAACAATTTCAACTAACAATGCTAGGACTACAAGTCGTCCCAAACCTAGTCTACCCCCAAGCCCAAACTCATCTCAAACTTCGGAGATGTTTTCAAAGCTGAGTTTTATCTTACTGCAGTTGGGGAATAGGGAGAGTAACATTGTAAAAGTGTTATCTGATTGTTGAGAATTACACCCAAATGTCGGTGACCTTTTATTACAATTAAACCATTACAAAGCCAGATGAACCAACTTTCAAAATGTAAGCAATGATCAAAACGGTTTCTCAACATCAGCCAGATCACATGTAGTGAATAGTTCAACATTTAAGGTGATCTTTAGTTCAAATAGTATTCAAACTGACCGAAGCCTTTGTGGAAACCACATTCCGCTCTCCAGCTGCCTCTCATTACAAGTATCAGTTTCTGCTGTCCGAGATTGTAGAGTGATTGAAGCTCCCGTATAATATGCCTTGCCTGTTTGAGAAGCTTCTGCTGTATCTGTACAGATAAATATATCCAACACACAATATACAGGTGACTCTTACTATGACAAGGACTTAAATTCACTGACATTGAGATGAGAGTAATTTGTTATTATGACCATGAGGTTTCCCAAACCCTCTGGATTTTCTTAAAGTTTTGCAGTCTGGTTCAACCCTCATCAGATTTGATTTGTCCCACTTAGTTCCATGACTTTTGGGGCATTTGTAACTTAAACTGGTGACCTAAGATGTAATTTATTCTCTGTCCGTGAAAGACCTGGACAAATATGAAAAAAATGAAAGTAACTGCCACTGGAAGGTTCACATAAAGTATTTGAGGCAAGTTGAATTGATACCTTATGCTTCTAGAAAATTCACAGGATTTGCTTGCATTGTTGCAATCTCAGATTATGTTAAAATTATGTTAACATACATGTATTTCATTTTTCAACTTTGTCCACCAAAGGTCCCACAGTACAAACATTCAGTGTGGATTAGATCGGTGTCTCATACTATTTGTAGCATTGAAATGTCGGGAAACTGCAGTCTGCGACTCCCCAGCTTCAAGGCGGCCAATGGCGATGTTTCGATTTGCGGCAGACAAAAACGAATTCCAAAATTAAACACAACGTTTGCCTGTGTATAGTGATCGATACCGCATGATTTTCCGCTTATTTTCAAGTGCAATTTGTTTTGCATGTTTTCTTGGTAACGTTTTGGCGAATATTTCTTTAAACGCCTCTATAACATGGGAAAACGTTAAAATTGCCGCGTTTTGGCTCTGAAGCTGTTTACAGTCACACAAAGATGACGTTTTGGAAAGAAATAGTATATTTGTATTGTTTTTGCCGTAGTTACATGAGTCCAATATTCTCAAAATGACCTATGCGTTTCTTTTTATGAAGAGTGTACTAACATTAAGACTACTATTTAATGAGTTTGTGAACAAGGTATATTCTGCACATAATGCATACATATAATCCGTTGATGGAAATGAATATAAATTCAGAGCTGTGTACTTCTACACAGTAGTATTAATTGCAATTTATGTAACTGGATGTTCCGGTCCATAAAACACTTGTCTGGTTTGTGTACACATTGCCGTCGCATGGCAGGAGTACTGCTGAGTGACGTCGGGCCAAAATACTTCAATTTTAGGCCCATTGTATAAATGGCGGGTGTTACCAGTAGAGCAGGACATGCTTACCCTTTTCGAGAACACCTGGTGTCACCACTGAGTTTCAGTGATCCATTCAAATAATTTTCACAGTCTTTTACCCCTTTACACTAAACGGAATTTGTTTCTGAGGATAATCAAGATAAAAGTATTCTTTTGCACTGACGTTCTATATTTGCTCATAATCGTTATACAAGAAGTAGAACGAATGTGCTCACTTCACACATAGCGCTCCTTAAACCATGGTATACAGCTACCTGTAAAAAGTAAAGTTCTATACACTGCAGACATGCACAGTCGTCATGCATATAGCAACATATGCAAATTCTCATATTCAGCGTCATGATCTTATTCAACGTCACAAGCGTGTGTAACTTTATTTATTACCCACGAGGTCAACGTATGGGTAGTTGCATACTAATCTCGTACTAGTGTCGTATCGCGTTGACCTGTGTCGTAACGACTTGACCTGAGATTCTAACGATTTGATTGGATAACCGATGACCTTTCAATTAGGTCATATTCCGACGTAACTATTGTTTCATTCATAACAAACACGTGAATTCATTCATTCTACAACTTAAATGCATTATGGGAATGTAAACATTGCGAACGTTGCCGTGTCGGTGTTTAATTGTGAGTCGAACTGAGACATTATATCTGTCGAAAAACATAAACGCAATGTTTCCACCAGTGATGTTAGCCGAATGAAGCAACTGGAAACCAAGAAACGGGGTGCTACGGAGTAGTTTACTGTAGAAGGCTGTACGAAGCGATGACAACTGACATGCATCGTTACGTCGGTTACCAAGGCAGTGACGTCATTACAGTGTGACGTCATGCAAATATTGTACTACAGTACAAATTCTTCCGCAACCTCTTTATGAAACCGGTTTCGGTTTGAAACCAAAAACATAACAAAAATACGCTATTTTGTCAATTTAATGCATGTAAGACGTGGGTAATAAATAAAATACCACACTCGGTCTCATTACATACGAATTATACGAAACTCGTGACCTTCCTATGGTCTCTGACCTCGCTTTCGCTCGGTCAGACACCATAGGAAGGACACTCGTTTCGTATAATTCGTATGTAATGAGACCTCGTGTAGTATTCTCTATGTATGTGGTGAAACGTGTCATGAAACGTCTCGGAGATACACCATTTAAGACACAAATAATGAAGCTTATGTGCTGTATAGTTCCTCCTATGGCGACTGAGTCCCTCACTTACATTGATCCAAGAAATACAGCAACACATTTGTTCCCAATAACACAGGTACCTTGCCATCTTGTTTCAGGGACAATCGACATGAGGCAAGATGCTGCATGTTTACTGTTAATTCCTCTGCCCATGATGCTTGCACAAACATATCTGAGATATGGAAACTGTTTTTAATGGTTCCCAGGGCAAAGTCTGTACACAATTCTTGGAAAAAGATTAACAAAAGATAGAGACTATTGTACCGGTGACCAACAAAGCTCGAACTGGAAAGCCTTTAATGCTGATTTCAACTTTTGTGGATTCCTCAACCAGTCAATCAGGAATCTCTAGTAGTAGATCAAGTCCAACAAAAAGCCTCTGCAAAGCTTTATTTCACAAATAAAGCTTTTGCCAGGCCCTTAGATCTCGCCCCAGTATATCTACTACTTTTGAACCCCCAGTTAACTTCCCGGCCCCACGTGGCACTATTGTGCCGCTATGTCGCGTTGACCTCGATGAAACAGTTTAATGTGAATCGCCTATGATCTCTTTGGTGTTCGTAATAAAGGCTTGCTGGGCTTTTTGTATCCCCTGTTCTATGTACTTTTTTTTCTCGTCTTCGCTGATAGCAGACTTACGAGACTTGTACCGGATTTCTTTTTTCATCTTACGGTACTTGTCGAGTTCAGAGTGGATTGAACGAAATTCCTCCTCTGAGATCTTACTGTCGGTGAGTGCTGCCGAAATACGCTCACTTACCGTGTTCAGCTTTGCTTCGGCCAGAACCCTGATCTCGTCGTGTTTCAACGCCTTACGATGCAGTCTGCGGGATACAAACTTAAACACCAACCCTGCCACCCCTACCACCCCAGCTGTTATTTCAATGCCTAGCACTATAGGTGCGGCCACTATGGTGGCTAATAACCCAACACCTGCCGCCCCTAGTCCCATGCTGGTTGCCATAAGGGCAGTATCAGTCCGTCCACGATATTGAAAGCTCTATGGTACTTCTTATATAGTGCTTTCCGCGTGTTGCGGTCTTGTTCTAGTTGGCGTTTTACATCACATAACTGTCTCAAGCGGAACCCGTCTACGGTTTCCAGTGTCTTCGCGACTTCCTCTACGACTGGGTACAGGTTCATACTGTGCATATAATATATTCTAAAAAATATCTTTAAAATGTGCGTTATTTACTTTTTGCTCAGTGTATTTGAAGCTTACAAGTCTTAGACCCTTGTACAGGGAAATAGGGGAGAGGTAAATAGGTAACTGTGCGTCCACATGAACATCATTGAGGGAGCCTCCTAAGGAGTGTATTGAGGAGACTATAGAACCCGTTGAGGGGTCCGGTTGTATGACGATACGGCAATGTTCGCCCAGGCTTAGGGCGTTATAGCGTATTGTCACCCCGGGTAAAAGTTGCTGTTCTACAGGATCACCCCCCATGAAGAAGACTTCTATGGCGAGTGTGGAGCCTGGTTTCACCTTCATAAGGTCCAATTGGGAATTGGGGACGTCAAACTTTAACTCGTCCTCCAAGCCTGAAGTAACTAACATGTT